AATATCATGATTAAGTTATGGTATTTTGATTGTTCCTCCGCATGATCCCTCTGCCATAGTGGGATTTGTTTATTTTTAAATATTTAAAATATTGCTGTCTTTCTGATAATATCCATGGTTGACGTGCAGATTGTCTTGAGCTTCGACAAAATGGCGCTTGGCTATTGCGCATGCGCCCTTCTGTCTATTTTAGCTCCCACTTACACGTCATGGCGCCCACTGGTTCTTTCTCTGAAGATGTGCTTGGCACGTAACGCGTAAGGAGGAGCCTACGCACGCTTTGACGTCACGCCGTCGGAGCATCGTGGAGCTCCGGCGGCCAACACATCTGACAGGACGGTTAGTCCTGTCTGTCTATTTTATGCCATTTGTGGATGCATCCTGCTAATTTTAATAAATTTGTTTTAAACTTTACTTCACTATGGGCATTTTTTCTTGATCCCCTGTGGGGAGTACCTTTTCTCCCAGATACCGTTTTTGCACAGTGGAGGAATAGTGCTCTTTTGGTGGAGCAGTGATCGTTTCCTATCAACTAGTGGATTTCTTCTGCTCAGCTCTGTACCATCGTGAGGATCTTCACTGACCAAGGGAATACATCTATCCTTTTCATGCTGATGACTACTCTATGAACTCCATCCTGGCTACATTGCACTTATAATGTGCACTTCTGGTTAGTGTGCATTGCTACCCTAGGTCACCGTTGTTGGTGACTTTTTCTGATCACTTTTATTGATTGTTACACTTTTATATATTTTCCTAGCGCTGCACTTTTATTTTATTTTCATGTGAGGATTATTTTGGTTATCCTGTGTGCCTCAGCTGCTTGTACATTTAAAGCGCTCGCTTACTATTCTCTGTTTTATGTCAAACTTACATGCTCTGTGCAATGGTTTTTCACAGAGCAGCTACGATCCGTGCTACAGAGGCACTCGTATGGGCTTGATCAAGAGTGGGCTGTCAACATCTATTGACACACCCCCCTTCCTCAGAAGATTGCTTGACAGCAGAAGAAGCCAGGTGCTCTACTGACTTTTCCGCCTACCAAGCGCCCTCATAGCAAAGCTGCTTCGTATGGGGGCATTCATGTTGGCTCACTCCCAAGCGAGCTCTGTGGGGTTGATTTATTAAAACCAGAGAGTGCAAAATCTGGTGCAGCTCTGCATAGAAACCAATCAGCTTCCAGGTTTTTTTGTCAAAGCTTGATTGAGCAAGCTGAAGTTAGAAGCTGATTGGCTACCATGCACAGCTGCACCATATTCTGAGTGCACCAGTGTTAGTAAATCTACTCCTATGTGTCCATAGACACACAGAGCATGACTGCTCCCTCTGCGCTGGCTGTTATTGACAGCAGTGGGAGCCAATGGCTCTCGATGCTGTCTCTGAGCCAATGAGGAGGGAAAGAGTGGAGAGAGCCTCTGCTCTTGTGCTCTTGTGATATCACTGGATTGAGATCTAGTTCAGGTAAATAAACAGGGGGCTGGAGGGGGGGGGGAGGGAGCTGTATGCAGATGGTTTTTTTACCTTAATGCAGAGAAAACATTGGGGTAAAGAAACTTACTGCCTTTAGAACCACTAAAGAGGAAACAAATACAATCATTTACATGTTTTAATATAAATGGTTGAGCACTGTAAAACACTTTTGTTTACTTATACATTTCTTATACTGATCAGATCAGTTCAAAAATAGGGGCAACTAAGGAAGAAAAGAGGGACTGAAGGATTTGATTCTAAAAGAGGGACAGTTGTAAGGCAAGCCTAACCTATGGAGTGGAGTATAGCCCTGGTGTCCAACTTGTAGCCAAGGAGCCGCATGTGGCCCTTTGACACTTATGAACTGCACTCTGGGCCCCTTCAGACAGTGTTCTGTGTTTTCCTTACCTAGGTGCTTATTCAAGCCAGAAAAGGTAACACATCGGGGAATTTACTAAGGCATTTATAACAATATTCTGACAGTAGTTCCCTCTAAAACTACCTGCACCTAATTCAGGCAAGCATTTGTGCTAGTTTAAGTAACAGTACTGACATGTGCAACAAATTCAAGTAGTTCTTACTTTTAGCAATGGCGGTAACATGTAGATAGATAGCCGGCTGACCCAGGCTGGGGAAAAGGTTAAACATTCTATGCTCTTTTCCCTGGCTTTCTGGACCCAGCCTGTGGCCTATATATTAGGGGGGAAGACCAGGGACGAGGCTGTTAGAAGCCATCTTGTGGAGATGCTGTAACGCTATGAACTGTGGAGGGGACTGCTGTGCCCTGCAATCCCCCCAGATACCAGATTCCGAAGCTCGACAAATATGGACTGTGTCAATTCATGACTTTCACCTGTGGAGATACACTTGGGCAGCCAAAGAGTAATTAGAAGGAATATATGCACTTTATTTTGTATTGTTGCAGACGTTCCAGTAAAGTTCTAGGCTCTAGAGCCTGGTCTGAAGTTACTTAAAAAGTGGTGCATGTTGGTTCCTGGTGAGTAAACTGGGTCAGTAAAAGTACACATGAAGTATGAAGTAAGGCCACTACTGAAGGTTATCTCAGCAAGACAAGTAGGAGGAGGAATGTAGTGGCTATGGGTAAACGGATCTAGTGCCCTATATAGTGTTTTTGCCTGTCCATGTGCACCTTACTGCAAAGGCTAGTTATAGGTTGGGGTGGTTGCACTTTTTTGTACAGTTAGTTGAATTAGGCTCTGGAACACATTGGAAGCCTTCAGCTGCAATTAAGCTCTTGCTGGGTGTCACATGCATCCACTGTGCCTTTAAGGAGGGGTGGGCTCCCTCCAGGCACACCTGCCCTTAATCTATCCATTGCTAAATGTGCTCCTCCTAAGGAGACTCTGAAATGTAAAGAGTTTGGAATGCAGTATAGAGACTAGGGCTGCAAGGGCTGGGACAGTGATAATAATGGGGGATTTTAATTAATTGGAAATTGACTGGAGTAATGGTACTGCAGGAACAGTTAAAGGGGCAACCGTTAAGGAATTACAGACACACAAAGCACCCGGACCAGACGGATTCTCCTACGCATATTATAAACAATTTATTGCAGATATCGACCCTGCCTTATTGGAATTTCATTACTCTTTGTTGAATGGTGAAAATTCCCCATCCACAATTCCAACATTCACATATCACAGGCATTCCCAAACGGGAAAAATTTTAACGACCTGAGCCAATTACAGACCTATAGCATTATTAACCCCTTGCCTACAGGGCACTTACAGTTGCAAGAAAAAGTATGTGAACCCCTTGGGATTACATGGAGTTTTGCAATGAATTGGGCATAAAATGTGCTCTGAACGGCATCTAAGTCACAACAATAGAAGAACACAGTGTGCTGAACATATTACTACACAAATATTAGATGTTGCCATGGTTTAATTGCACATAACATGTAAACATTCACAGTGCAGGGAGGAAAAAGTATGTGAAGCCCTAGCTTAATGACTTCTCCCAGAGATAATTGGAGCCAGGAGTGAGCCAACTTTGACTCCAATCAGTGTGATGATATTGGATGTGTTGCTGACAGCTGTCCTGCCCTTAAAAAACACACACCTGTTTTGGGTTTACTGGTTTCAAGAAGCACTGTCTGATGTGAAACCATGCCTCGCAGAAAAGAGCTATCAGAAGACCTACGATCAAGAATTGCTGACTTGCATGAAGCTGGAAAGGGTTACAAAAGTATCTCCAAAAGCTTGATGTTCATGTGTCCACGGTAAGACAGACTGTCTACAAATGGAGAAAGTTTAGCACTGTTGCTACTCTCCTAGGCGTGGTCGTCCTGTAAAAATGACTGCAAGAGCACAGGCAGAATGCTGCATGAGGTAAAGAAGAATCCCAGAGTGTCAGCTAAAGACCTACAGAAATCTCTGGCACATGCTAACATTTTTGTTGACACATCTACAATAAGGAAAACATTAAACAAGAATGGAGTACATGGGAGGACACCACGGAGGAAGCCATTGCTGTCCAAAAAGAATATTGCAGCACGTTTGAAGTTTGCAAAAGAGCACCTGGATGTTCCACAGCACTACTGGCAAAATATACTGTGGACAGATGAAACCAAGATTGAGTTGTTTGGGAAGAACACACAACACTATGTGTGGAGAAAAAAAGGCACAGCACACCAACATCAAAACCTCATCCCCACTGTAAAACATGGCGGAGGGAGCATCATGGTTTGGGGCTGCTTTGCTGCCTCAGGGCCTGGATGGATTGTTGTCATTGATGGGAAAATGAATTCCAGAGTTTATCAAGACATTTTGCAGGAAAACGTACGACCATCTGTCCGCCAACTGAAGCTCTGCAGAGGATGGGTGATGCAACAGGACAATGACCCAAAGCATACAAGTAATTCAACAAACCAATGGCTGCAACAGCACAGAATACGCCTTCTGGAGTGGCCCAGTCAGAGTCCTGACCTCAACCCGATTGAAATGCTGTGGCATGACCTTAAGAGAGCGATTCACACCAGACATCCCAAGAATATTGCTACACTGAAAACAGTTTTGTGAAGAGGAGTGGTCCAAAATGACTCCAGATCGTTGTGCAGGTCTGATCTGCAACTACAGGAAACGTTTGGTTGAGGTTATTGCTGCCAAAGGAGGGTCAACCAGTTATTAAGTCCAAAGGTTCACATACTTTTTCCTCCCTGCACTGCGAATGTTTACATGTTATGTGCAATTAAACCATGGCAACATCTAATGTTTGTGTAGTATTATGTTCAGCAGACAGTGTTCTTCTATTGTTGTGACTTAGATGACGTTCAGAGCACATTTTATGCCCAATTCATGCAAAACTCCACGTAATCCCAAGGGGTTCACATACTTTTTCTTGCAACTGTATACCCCCTTCCTGCCCAGGCCAATTTCCAGCTTTCAGCGCTGTCACACGTTGAATGACAATTGAGCGGTCATGCAGCACTGTACCCATATGAAATTTTTATCATTTTTTGAGACAGATAGAGATTTCTTTTGGTGGTATTTAATCACCTCTGGGATTTTTTATTTTTTCTTAAACAAACCAAAAACCACTGAAAATTTTGAAAAAAAAACATTTTTTCTTAGTTTTTGTTATACAATTTTGTAAATAAGTAATTTTTCTCCTTCACTGATGTGCGCTAATGAGGCTGCAGTGATGGGCACTGATAGGCTGCACTGATGGACACTGATAGGTGGCACTGATGGGCACTGATGAGGAGGCACTGGTAGGTTGCACTGATGGGCATTGACAGGCATCACTGATGGGCACTGAAAGGCAGCACTGATACATGACACTGATATATATGGCACTGATAGGCGGCACTGACTGGCACTGATAGGCAGCACTGATTGGCACTGTTAGGTGGCACTGATGCACGCTAATAGGCGGCTCTGACTGGCACTGATAGGCGGCACTGACTGGCACTGATGCGCACTGATAGGTGACACTGACTGGCACTCATAGGTGGCACTGATTGGCAGCACTGATAGGTGGCACTGATTGACATTGATAGGTGGCACTGACTGGCACTGATGGGTGACATTGAAAGGCAGCTCAGATGGGCACTGATATGTGGCATTGATGTGCACTGGTATGCACTGATATGTGGCATTGATGTGGCACTGGCACGTGGCACTGATGGGCACTGGCACGTGGCACTGATCAGCACTGACAGGTGGCACTTCTGAGGCCACACTGATCATCAGGGCACACTGATCATCAGTGCCCTGATGATCAGTGTACATGTCTCCTCCGCAGAAAGCCGATTACCGGCTCTCCTCTCCTCTCGAGCTGTCAGCGTGACAGCTCGAGAGGAGAGAAATGACAATAACCGGCATTTCCGTGTTTACATGTGATCAGCTGTGATTGAACACAGCTGATTACATGACTGAGCCGACATCTTTGGCTCTTTCCGTGATCCGCTGTGTCCGAGGGACATAGCGCACTGGGGATCGCTGTGCTGCGTGCTCCCTGAGACGCGCATGCGCAGTGAGAATGGTAGGACGTCATATGACATCCTATCAGAACGAGAGAACCACCTTGCGCCCGTCATTGTACTATAGGGCGGGCGGAAGGTGGTTAAACACAGATTATAAAATGTTTATGAAAATCTTAGCAAATCATTTGGGCCCTTTACTTGCTAGAATTATTCATAACGATCAAGTGGAATTTGTCTTTGAGTAATTTCTCCATAGTGATAGGTGCATTTAGAACTAGCTTGTCTTCCCTGTTTAATTTGGGGAGCTGAAGGGTTGAAAAAAAGGCATCAAAGGAATCCTTATGAAATGGGGGATGTACTTCCGGTGCTAAGCAGTTATAAAGTTTACGATAAAAATCTCAGAACACTTGAGCTATTTGTTGTGGGCAGAAAGTAGGGACAGCATCCGACTTAAACAGAAATTCAGGAGCGGAAGGTGTCGAGTGGGCCTTCAGTTTATTAATTAACATCTTATGAGGTTTATTAGCGTATTAATAAAACCTCTGTTTCATCCAAAGCAGTTGCTGTGCGACAGAGCTCACCTCAAGTGTCTTAAGTTGATCCTTAAGTCGTATCACTAATCGAAGCTTAGATACAGAGGGCGTGTCTATAAGCTTTTTTTCCGCCTGGGCCAAATGGTTCATAAGATCAGCTTTTTGGTGGAGTCTAGATTTCTTAAGACGTGAGCTCTCCTTTATAAAGCAACCTCTAATAAACGCTTTGTGGGCTTCCCACAATGTTGAGGATGCTGACACAGAACCTGTATTAAGTTAAAAAAATTCACACAATGCTTTCGAAATGAAGGCGTTGATTTTTGAGTTTTGTAAAAGTGTGTCATTTAGACGCCAGTAGCAAGTGTAAGAGTATGGTTGATCCAGAAACAGATCCAAAGCCAAAAAAGAATGATCTGACCAGGAGCTTGGAACAATATCGGAACTGACCGTCTGTTTTAGTAGGGGAGATGAGAGTAAAAAATAGTCTAGTCTGGTGTAAATATGATGTATCGGAGAGAAGAACAAAAACTGTCTGGCACTCGGATGCTGTATTCTCCAGATGTCAAACAGCCTATGTCCCCTAATCCACTGACGGAAGGATGCAGACTGTTTCAAAACATGTTTTGAAGGCGGTTGGCCCCGGAGGGATCTCCTATCGCGTGTAGCTGACATAGATAAATTGAAGTGCCCAGCAATGATCGTGAAAGGGTGTGCTGAACTTAAAAGTGGAGAAATGGTTTCTGTAAAGAATACCAATTGATTAGTGTGTTGGAGCATATACATTAAGGATTGTAAGGTAGGTATCACCATATTGGCATTGGAGCAATATATATTTACCTTTGGGGTCTAACGCAGAAGAAACCACCCGGATTGGGCAGCCTTTTTTTAATGCGAATTGCAACACCTGCGTTACCTGTATTGTCAAGGCAGAGTATGCTATAGGAAAGTATCCGAGGGCAAAGTTAAACGAGCTACCCTTTTTAAAATGTGTTTCTTGGATAAAAATAACATCAGCTTTGGACTGGCAGAATTCCCTAAGAGCTATCGACCTCTTTCTCACTGAAGTTCAGCCATTAACATTGCAAGAAAATAATCGTTTTTTTGGGCTTGCCTGTATTTTGCTTGCCGGACCTTTGACCAAGTGGACATTTGATAAGTGGAGTTAAAAAACCGGAGTTGAAAACAGGAGATTATAACAGGAGTCTACTGACCTGTAAGTGACAACTGATATTTCCTGTTAATATTGCAACTGGGATATGAGTGCTAGCAGGGTTGAAGGTTTTGTGCAGTGCACAGTGTGCCGCATGTATACAGCAATGGAGCAACAGCTCCAGGATAGATACCACTGCGACAGATGTGAGTGGCTTGCCCTTCTGGAATCTCGCGTTAGACATCTGGAGGAGCAAGTTGCAACACTGGGCAGAACTTACAACCTTGAAAGGGGTCTTCTGCTTTCTTAGCAGGTAGCAAATGGAATTGATGTGGAGGGTGGAGGGGCTACTCAGGATTATCAGGTAGGAATATGGGTTACTATAACGAGAGGGAGTGGTAGGGGCTCACAGAAAAGGAAGGCTGGCCCTGGGTTTGAGCACCCAAACAGATTTGCCAGGTTGGGTGAAGATGTGGGGGTGGCAAGCTCAGGGTTGGCAGCCCTGGATGTCACTGCTATCCTTAACAGCCGGGAGGGCAGACCATCTGGGAAGGGGTGGTGAGGGTAGTGCAGGAAGGCCTAGACAGATGGTGGTAGTAGGGGATTCTATGATCAGAACGACTGATAGAATATATTTTCGCCAGGATCGCCCCAACCGAATGGTTTGCTGTCTCCCTGGTGCCAAGGTTTGGCATGTGGTGGACCGGGTTGATAAATTACTGGGAGGGGCTGGGCATGACCCAGCTGTCTTGGTTCATGTTGGAACCAATGACAGAATACATGGAAGGTGGAGGCTCCTTAAGACTCAATTTAAAGAACTAGGCTGCAAGTTGAAGGGAAGGACCTCCAAGGTGATATTCTCTGAAATATTACCTGTGCCATGCGCAACTCAGGAGAAACAGGGGGAGATTAGAGAACTCAATGCATGGCTGAAGACCTGGTGTAAGAGGGAAGGATTTGGGATACTAGAGCACTGGGCTGACTTTTCATTGGGGTGCAACCTATATGCTAGAGATAGTCTGCACCTAAATGGAAGGGGGCCTGCTGTGCTAGGGGAGAGGTTTTTGGGAAGGCTGGAGGAGTATTTAAACTAGGATTGAGGGGGGAGGGTGAATTAGATTATAATGGGGTAGACAGATCAGACAGGGGTCAGTACTTATTGGTGGGTGGAATGGGGAAAGATGGGGGAAGGCTATGGCAGGTGATAAGAAGGTTCCCATGTTGCAAACAACCAGTGGAATTGGTACCATTTGTATGAAAATAAAAAATATGCATAATACTGTTTGTTCACCAATGCCAGAAGTCTGCCAAGCAAAATAGGGGAGTTGGAAGCTTTGGTACATGACGAGAACTATGATTTATTTGGTATTGCTGAATCTTGGCTTCATTCTTCGCATGACTGGGCCATTAATATTCATGGAATGTTCTCTTTCAGAGAGACAGAGTAAATAGGAAAGGTGGTGGTGTCTGTCTCTATGTGAGAAGTGATCTCAGAGCGAGTGTGAAAGAGGACCTAGTTGATGGAGAGTGTGATGAAGCTGAAGTATTATGGGTGGAACTGCACATGGGGGTGCTTACTACAAAGGTAATCATTGGAGTTTGTTATAGGCCTCCCCGTGTTAATGAGCAGGTGGAAACTCAGCTCCTTGCACAGATCAAAAGGGCTGCAAGGGCTGGGACAGTGATAATAATGGGGGATTGTAACTACCCGGACATTGACTGGAGTAATGTTACTGCAGGAACAGTTAAAGGGCAAAAATGTATAAACCTGTCAGGGCTCCGGGGTGTGACCAGAGGTATGTGACTGACGCAGGAAAACGCAGGCTTCAGATAAGTTATAAACAATATAATTTATTAAAGACTAACAATACAAACATAAACGCAGTGCAATACTAAAACATAACACAGTGCAAACGAACCAAACCAAACCACCCACAGATAACAGTACATACAATGCAAGCGTCGTCAGGCAGGCCGGGTCAATAACAATCGGGCAGGTAGGTACAGGGGGTCAGGCAGAGAATGGTCGGGGTCACAAGCCAGGGATGAAACAGGAGAAGTCAGCAGAGGTCCGGATCAGGCAGGGTCAGCAACGAATCAGTCAGACAGGGATAGGGACAGGAACAGGAACAGGGATGCAGGAACAAGATACAGGGCCCAGGAAAAACACACACCAAGGCGGAGACTGCAGGTCTGGCCATCCCTTAAATACACCTGCATGATCAACTTCAGGTGTTTGGCTGGCTGCAGGGTTGAGTCTCTGATTGCCGGGAGCACCCATGGCCAGCCCTGGTACTGCAGCCCACAAGGCAGGTGGGTCCCACCATTACTGGCAAGTCCATTCCTGACAGTACCCCCCCTCAAGGAGCGGCCTCAGGACGCTCCAAACAGTCCTAGCTGGGCAAAATGTTCCACCGCCCGGGTCTGGAAACTGGCGGGTTATCAAAGACTGGCACATCGGGCAGGACTCCGGGCAGCGGCACACCGGGCAGGACTCCGGGCAGCGGCACACCGGGCAGGACTCCGGGTAGCGGCACACCGGGCAGGACTCCGGGCAGCGGCACATCGGGCAGGACTCCGGGCAGCGGGCACACCGGGCAGGACTCCGGGCAGCGGCACATCGGGCAGAGGCACATCGAGCTGGACTCCGGGCAGCGGCACATCGGGCTGGACTCCGGGCAGCGGCACATTGGGCAGGACTCCGGGCAGCGGCACATCGGGCAGGACTCAGGACAGGACTCCGGGCAGAGGCACATCGAGCTGGACTCCGGACAGAGGCACATCGAGCTGGACACCGGATCACCAGGCGGAGCAGCAGGCACCGGGCCACCAGGCGGAGCAGCAGGCACCGGGCCCTCAGGAGGGGCGACAGGCATCGGGCCCCCAGGAGGGGCGACAGGCATCGGGCCCCCAGGCGGAGCGGCGGGCGCCGGGCCCCCAGGCGGAGCGGCGGGCGTCGGGCCCCCAGGAGGGGCGGCAGGCACCGGGCCCCCAGGCGGGGCGGACGACAGGCATCGGGCCCCCAGGCGGGGCGACAGGCATCGGGCCCCCAGGCGGAGCGGCGGGCGCCGGGCCCTCAGG